CGTTTTGCTGCAGTTTTCTTACTGTGGTTGCGTGTTGGGGATTAGCTGTGGAGTTTTGTTTGGCCCGTCTTGCAGTGCCTGGCTTAGCCCTTCCGTATACATTGGTTTCTCTGTTCTTACCTAGTTGTTCTTCCCTAGTTGTGTTTGCGAGAGTTGAGCTCTGGCTTTTTGGTCCCGCTTCTCACCTATCATTCACTGATGTGTGGGTTCCTGTGCCTGCTGGGCTTTATCGTTTGTCTGTCGGAAGCTGTGTGTGGTGTCATCCTCCACCACTTTGCTTCCTCATGTGTTCCGTTTGTCTCCTACTCTGCCACTGCTTCCTTCTTTCCAACATTTCTCTGGCTCATTGGGCTCTCCTTTCACCGGTGTCCCTTGGTGCATGTACCCCTGGGGTCCCATAGTCGGTCTTTCTCTACCCTATCGATTCCTTTGCAAATCTGGAATGTGGTGATCTTGTCCTCGTCGCTCGTACTCCTTGGTTCGGGTACTGGTCTGGTAGCATACCTTTGCACCTTTCGTTCCGTTTGCTACACATTGTTTGTGCCTTTCTGGCTTCCCCGCCTGTTGGCATTTTACGGTCTCATGGTGTCCCTTCTCTGGAGTCTCGTGTCGGAGCTGTCGTCTCCGATTTCCTGGTGGGCTCACTGGCTTTGGGATGTTTTTCTGTACGGCAGGCGTTCATCTCCTTCTTTGCCGGCTTGGGTTTCCGGCTCTGCTGGCTCTGTAGTCGTACCTGAGATCTTTTCGCGGCTCTGCCTCTTCCTAGACTCGATTGGCCCATGATGGGGCTGGTTCGGTTTCTGACTCGCCTTCTGTTGGTGGTCGGGTGGTTTCGTTCATGGTGTCCCACCTGCGTTCTTCTGCTTCTTGGCGGTAGTGTGGGGTTTATTGGTGGTCCTTCCTTTTCCTTCTGTCCCTTCTTTGGTGGCTGTGTTTGTTGGCGTGGTCTTGTCCTTCTCTTGTGGAGGTTTGAGGTCGTCATCTTGCCCCATACTGTTGCCTTGTATCCTGCGGTGCTGGCGGAGCCGCTTCAGCTTGTTTTCTGTATTGGTGTTATGTCTGTGCTGTTTCGCAAGCTGTCTTGTGCGTTGTTCACCTCCGGCCTGCTCGTGCGCCGCCTGAGCCGTCCTGGTCTTTGGACAGAGTGCTCTTTTTTTCTTTTCTTCCTCACGGTTTGTTGTGGCCCCTTCGGTTCGGGATTGTTTCTCTGAGGCTCTGTTTCTGTTGGCATTGGCCTCAAGGGGTTGAGTCGGTGGGCTTCATACTCTCTTTCGGTGCAGGGGTTTTCTGCTCCTTCGGTTATGGCGATTGGTTGTTCGTCTGCAGCCATCTCCTCCTTTTCGGGTGGTGATTGAGACTGCTGCTTTCAGGAGGGGTCCTTCAGTTGTGGATGCTGGGTTGGTCGGGCCGAGGGTGTATCATTTTTGTGTCCAGTTGCGGCCCTCCGCCGTTACTTGCATGCCTCGGCCTCTGTGTCTGGGGATGTGCTTTGGGTTGCTCCGGTTTCCCTTCTTCCCTGTTCGCGGGTGCAGGTCTTCCAGGTCGTCCGCAGGGTTATTCAGGCTGGCCAGCCTGCAGTCTATCCACGTGCCCATGACGTTCGTAAGTTCACTGCTTTTGCTGCTGTCTCAGGCAGCATGTCCTGGGCTGACATTCGGGCGCGGGGCTTTTGGCAGTCGAACAGGGTCCTGGCTGCTTGTTCCCTCGTGAACGTTCCAGGGCCCAGTCAGCCCTGTGTCACTTTGGGTCGGCGGTTGCAGCCAGTTGTCTCGACTTCGAGTTGAGGAGTGAGCAGCGACTACCTCCCGGGTAAGTCCCTATTGTTTTCCTCTGTGGGTAGTTAGCTCCAGGAGCCGACGGGGCTCCCCCAGAAAACCAGCGTTGAATGTAATGAAACGCCAATTTCTGGGTGTGACCCGGAGACTCCCCGGCATTCCTCCCCCCCTCCCTTCGGTTGGCGTTTTTTTCACATGTTTTGATATCCAGCCTCAGAACTGATGGGTGGATAGCCGGCGTGGCGGGTCTGGGGCTCCCCCTTCCCCCTCCCGGGGAGGGGGGAGCTGCTCAGACAGCGGTGTGGCAATGTGTGATGTCATGCTCATTTGCTCATTTCTTTTAGGGGAGTTCTACCCACTTGTTCGGCTTTTGGTAGCAATATTTTCACCAGAATAGGGGTTTGTTTTGGGATGCATACCTTTCTGGGTGCCAGACCCAGTCGATGGCAGACACAGAATTCTTCCAACCACACTGGTGTTTCTTTAGGTCATTGCTTCCCATGCCTTTCTGAGGGGGCAAGTTCTGGTTCGTGGTCCCCGGTAGGCCCACAGAACTCCATACACATGACTGATGCCAAAGTCTGACATTAGCATATCAGCCTAATAAGCTCCAGGGAGCCTCCAGGTCACTCCCAGAAAATGGCGTTTCATTACATTCAACGCTGGTTTTTTGTAACTGTGGACCATCATACATATATTGATGTAATGGACAGTTTGATAGAATTTGGTACTATTCACTTCATAGAGTTAAATAAAAATAAACCTAAGAGTCAAACTTATATATTCCTAAACCTAGTATAGCAGATGTATGTACTACTTTAACCCTCAGATAGCATGTATTAGGCCTAGAATGGTTAGGTTAGGAAAGATTTTATTAGCAACGTAAATACAAAACCTTTTCCAGTTTGTCAAAATTCAGTACTGTAGCAAATTCTACTTTCTAATCGGCCAGTATGTCAATATATGTAAGATAGTCCATATCATTACTATACATACAATACAGTACTATCTAAATAGGAGGATGGGAGAATTATTCCTATAGCCACTTAACTGCTGGTTACATCTGCCTGTTAAACTGAGCGACACATCTGGTAAAAAGTTCCTCAGTTATGGGAAAGCAATGGTGTAGGTGGCTTAATTTCACTAATGAAATACCTCTACCCAACCTGTCAATTGATTAGCATGGCCACAACTATATGCGTAATTGTCCATCTTGAACAAATCTTCCATTGACTGCTGGAACAGGTAGGCTGTGGTTTGGATTGAACAGTTTATGACATTCATTGGTCACATATTTAGAAAGTTGGTGATGCAGAGTTGCCTCTAACCCCCAGTCATTACACCACTGCCAGATCCTGCATTGCATAGATTCAATTTCTGTGGTGTCACACATGCACATTGGTGGCCTCCTGGTGTCACAGTACCTTCAAGATGACCAGCTGCATGAACCCTGCACTCTCCTCACTTTTGGATTTCATGATTAGTGGGAATCTTAATCAAGTGGGACTTAATACACTGCTCATCAACTTTCTGCTGTTTGGGACATGTCACTATCACTAATTAAGCAATACCACACTCTAAAAGAACTCAACACTCGTGAATGTGTGTTTATATCTAGTCGCATGCAAAATTCCTTGAGGCTTCAATTGAATCCCACCTCTGTAAGGCTTCAAGATGTCAATATTTCAAACAAAATTCATTATAATTTTGGAGTAAGTAATTTGTCATAAATTCCATTATGCATTTCCTTCTTATAGGTAAATCCTACTGTTGGGGTTTTATATATACCTGACATTTGTGAATGTTATTTTATTACACTTAGGGTGCATGTGATTTTCCTGATCGGATAATGTGCACATGTTTAGATTGTCATCTGCCCTGTGAACATTACTTGCTTGTAAGTCATCCTTCATTTGATCTACACTATTCAGTATATACTGTATATGCAGATTCATCAGGAGTATGATTATTAAATTTAAAGCATAATTTATATTATAACACATACTGTATTGTAAATGTATTATATACAGTACTTTAGTAACATGATGACAATGACTAAGTTTGAATCTTTGAATGAAGGGTATCTCATTATCTCTACTAGTGACTCCAGAACCAAGACTGTGGTGGCTTGTACTGTTTCATCCTTGCACTGTGAGTGGGCAAGTTTTCTCTTGCTTGAAATGTAGTCCATAATTATTTTTGTTCATTCTGACATTTTTTGTGTGATCTGGAAGCATTCATTCTAGAGTGGAAAAATGTCTTCGGATTTTCTTTTTTGTGCAGTCATATTTACTCTTGGAGCATAATATAGAAATTCAAGCATAAATCACATGTCTGTGTCAAATGGTGAACTTATCAATGCTCTAAAATTTTTATTTCTTGGTTAAAATAGAAAAAATCGCTATCAAAGTGTAGCTGAGGACTACGTGAACAGTGTAACAGTTGGTGTTAAAAGAAGTATGAAGATAACAGGTCAGCAGAGATAATGCTTCATAAAGTGCCAAACAGACAAGCCTAACATTCTCAAGTTCGGTGGGCACAATAAACTATGCAACAAGTTGTTCAGACTCACAGCAGTGTCGCCTCTAGTGGATACTAAGGTACTTACTCTAACGGAACCATCCGTGTAAAGGGGGAAGAGTGAAAATGTCTACTGCTTTTCTTCTGGGACTTAGTCACATCATGAGGACATTAGTAATGTACAAACACACAACAAAAAGGCACTTAAAAATTCTATAGTGATGATAGAATGGGATGTTTTATAAAATAAAAATTATCGTTGGCCATGGAATACTTTGGAACATAATAAAGGTAACAGTAACACATGATACAGTAATTTATTTATGTATTACAAGAATCACTGAACGTTATTTTTATTACATTGTAATAATATCCTTCCACACCAATCACAGGATTGCTGCCTGGGTTTGTTATGACTTCATCTTACATCACTTGTCTTCATACCCGACTGAAAAGTAAACTTTGGCAATCTTGGCAATTTTACTCTAGTGCATGCAAGGGATTTTTCCCACTCGTAAAATGATCAGATATGTGACTGGCATATTTGTAGGAGGGTCAGTGACACATTCCTGATATTTATTGTTGGCAAGTTGAAATCTGATTTACAGGTAGATTAATTTGTACCCAAGTGTATGTTAATTTTTTTTGTACAGTGCCTTTTACCATAAATAATGTTGTATTAATATTCATGTTTTCATTTAACAGGCCTGGGCAACATCCCCACGTACCTGAACTCTTCAGTGATGATCAATAAGGTCTCACACTCACCGGAGAAGTTGCCTACCCTGCGTCATGAAGATTCTAATGAGAAAGGTGTTAAGAAATTGGACCTACATAAACATACTGTGTGTACAGATTTAGCAAGCTTAAAAGCAAATTCTGACATCACTATTCACAGTGTGACAAAGAATGAAACATTGAGTTTTAATAAATCTAGTGATGGTGAGAATAGGAACCCAAATAAATGCAAAAGTGAAGTGACCAAAGTGGGGAGAGTGACTCACTTGGATGTGAATGATAGAAAAGCATTGCAGGAGGCACTCAAGAGCTCACAGAGTTCTACCAAAAAGAATGATACTCACCAAAGCAGTATGCATGATCTTTTAAAACGCTTTAACTCTATAGACAGTTCAACTACAGTGCCTGTGTCTTCTCAGTCTGAGAGTACAAACAGCACCTCTGGGGTGAAAGTGGAATCCAAAGCCACTGACGCCCCAGAAAAGGTGAAACATGAAGTGAAAAGTGATGAAAAAAGTGAGAATAAAGACCCACACAATACAAGTGTAAATTCATCAAACAGCTGTGATACTAGTGTTAAACTGGAACCCGAACAGACAAAAGTTTTAGAGCAAGCTAAGGGCCCAGACTTTCCTGGCAATGTAGTATTAATAAAAAGTGAGGTTGAAAGTCCAGATGGTACTCCAAAAGGGGAGCATGGTAGTGGTCAAGGTGGAGAAGACTCTGGGATTGAGTCAATGGATGCCCTATCAGAAAAAAGTCCAAACCAGAGTGACCAGAGCCCTAGTAGAAGGGATGACAAAGAATGTGAAACATTTCCTGATAAAAGTTCAAGTGAAAAAAATACTAAGAGTGAATCAACCAGTGATTGTAGGTCTAATGATGCCCGAAATGTCACTCAAGAACCTAGAGCGAGTGCCAAAATTGAGATAAAGTCAGAACCTCTGGATGAAGACCAAAATGAAATAGTCCATCACAGAATTTCTGATAGTGAAGTAGACAGCACAAAATGTGGTTTAAAGACCTGTGAATCTCCAGTTGATATAAACACAAAGATGGTTATCAGTAAGGAAAGTGAGGCAGTTGGCATACATGCTGCATCCCAGGAATCTTCTTTCTCAAAAAATGAAGAGCTTCATCTGGAGTCTGTTGATGATATAAATTGTCCCTCTGAAATATTACCAATACCTGTGACAGAAATAAAATGTGAACCTATGTGTACAGCAGAATCTCCAAGCACAACCATCGAGTCATTGGAGTGCGAGACCAGTATATCATCATTTTCAATTCCACCCACTTCTAATTATACATCTGCATCACCAATCACTTCATTATTAGTCTCTACTTTTTCACCCAGTTTTTCAACCACTTCATCCCCTGTTGTGTGTGGGACTTCTTCACCAAGTTCCTTAAGTGTATCCACATCCTCATCAGTGTCTTCAATTTTTCTGTCCACGTCACCACAGAGTTCTATTGTGTCTGGTCCTCATTCATCATTACCGAGTTCCCCATCTTTATATTCTACGTATTCACCAGTGACTTCATCTTCCACGATTATAAATCCCACCACCCACAGCTCAATTGACACAAGTCTCTTGTCCCTTACGATTTCAAGTCCATCAGCACCTAGCGTTACTCTACCTTCTGTTACTGTATCTAGTTCCTCTGCTCCCTGTTCTCCCACGCCCACTAGTCATAATTCCTCTTATACTTTAGATACTCATAGTCTTGCAATACCAAACAGTACCTCTTTCACGTCTGTCACAACTACATCTGGTCCTACATGTACGACTACCACATATACCCCTGTTACAAATATTTCAGTGATTCCTACAGTGCCTCACTCCCCAAAGACATCAGTTTCAACTGCACCAATTTCCAGTTCAGTGTCAAAGCCATCAATACTTGCATTAACACTGACTAGACCACAAACAAGTTGTGCACCGTCTCAGCCATCTTCCACCCAAACAGCTTCTTTATCATCTGCAGACAAGGTAAACAATTTATCATCATTGGACCTTAGCAGCAGTATATCTACTTCGTCCTCAAGCAACAGCCAACCTACAGTAACAAACACAACAACTGTGGCAACATCAACAACAAGTGCAAAGGTGGTAACTTTAAAGCCTAGCACAAGTCAGGGTCAAGTTAGTACCCCCCTTAATCTCCCTCCAGGGACAACTTTTCGGTTAGTGGCCCTACCAGGTAACAGTGCCATGGCTCCCACCACCAGTGCAGTTAAGGTAGTGGTGTCACCAGTTAAAGGCCAGTTGAGCCAGCAGGTGACATCAGGAATTGGCAGCATGACAGTGGTGACGGTTAAGCCAGTGGTTATGGCAACAGGTGGGGCCAAGAACAGCCACTTATTACAAACACTTTCAGTTAGTAAGACTGAAGAATCTAGTCCTCCTTCCCTCCTCAAGGCTCATTTAACTGCTCCAACCCTCACCACATCAGCTCATGCTGTGGCTACCTCAGTCACCAATTCTGCCGCAACACCTATTGTGTCCAGCACCATGGCGAATGGAGATGATACAGAAGACTTAGATTTTGTGGGCTTCTCTAGTTCACCTCAAGTTAAGTTACTACAACCTGCTGAATTAAAACGAGAAATTTTAAGGCCAGACATAATAGAAAGCAGAAGACCAGATTCTTGCAAAAGTCCAGAAGTACTGTCCCCAACAGGTGACGAGCCAACTCCAATGAGAGTACACCCTCCCCTCTATACATATGGAAACAGAGAAAGGAAAAAAGATGTCGAGTCAGATGCTGAAGATAAAGACAAGGAAGAGGCTAAGAATACTTCTGAGTGTGAAGGACACTCTGATATTAAAAATTGTGATATATTAGAAATGGATAAGGAGAAAGATGAGTGTGTTGGTGTGAAGCCCAAACCCAAAGATAAGAAGTTTGATGCACTTTCCATAGAGATACCACCAACGGACCCAACCCTTCCAGATGATAAAAGGCTTACAAGAAGCACAAGACAAAGTGTAAGATTATCCAGTCCAAAAGTGAATAGTCCAGGGGCAGAATTGAGCCCTAAAGTAGATAGAAGAAGTCCTGCAAGTATGCTGTCGATGGGAAAACCAAGTCCTGTCCCAGTGTTACGGCCGAGTGTCAGTCCTGCCATTAGAGGTACCAAGAGACGAAGACATGAATCGGAAAGCAGCAGTGCCTCTAGCATCAATGATGATACACAGGAACCAGCAACAAAGTCTACCAGAAGAAAACCACCAGATAAAGCTGCAGGTAAGAAGTGTTAACCTTGTTTTCATAGGACAATGATTTCCCCTACCTGTTCATATAGAACATATGGATTCACAGACATTTTGTTGGATAAATGTACTTTGGGGTGGACATAGGTAACATTAAGATTTCCATTTAAATGGGGGGCAAAAAAATTGTCCTCTGGTGATTAATATGCCAAAGGTAGGTCATTATGTTTCTGCTCTCCTGTGCATGCCAATCAACATGCTTCAATTATTTTTACTACTATGCTTTTAAGAGATTCTCTGTTTCCATGCTTCCACTTTTGCTTTCTTATAATACTGTTATACATGTATGTACAGTCAAGGAAACATTTTCCTTTACCCTCAGTTTCTTTGAAAGAGCTAAATAGCAATGCCGCTTTTATTGTCGTCGTAATATTGGGTTAGATTATGAAAATACTGGAGGGCCAGGTCCCAAATCTTCACAGTAAAATAACAACATACTAGAGTGAACGATAAGGAAGAAATTACTGAATAGAACCAGTGAAGAGCAGGGGTGCCATAGGCACAATCAGAGAACACTGTATAAACATCAGAGGTCCACGGTTGTTCAACATCCTCCCAGCGTGTATAAGAAATATTGCCGGGACAACCATGGACATTTTCAAGAGAAAACTAGATCATTTTTCTCCAAGGAGTGCCGGACCAACCGGGCTGTGGTGGAGATGTGGGCCTGTGGGCCACTCCAAGCAACAGCCTGTTGGACTAAGCTCTCACAAGTCGAGGACAGGCTTGAGGAGTAGAAGAACTCACAGAACCCCATCAAGCAAGTATTAAGCAGCAGCAGGTATGAATGAATAGGCACTTTGTAATGAAGAGTCTCGTTGGTCAAAACACTAACACTAGTTTACGTAATTCACACTGCTATCAAAAGGAAAATAGTGAAGAGCAGTGAATAAGAATTATTATACAGTGTGTAGATTAGTGAAAAAGGGAGATGGCTCTACTTTTGTGCTTGAGAGTTTATTGACATTTTATGTAAAAATATAACGTATGATAATTTTATGTATTGTCATTTGGCTGTCGAGACGTATGATGTGACGTCACACAAAATGCTCCCACCATCGTTCTCACACCTTGATCAACAACAACAGCACAAAACATTTAAAGTTAAAAATGGTTTGCAAACATTTATATTTACAATAATAGTTCATCAGAGAGACAGAGAGAGACAGACACAGACAAAATATATGGAAAATGTCTAATCATATTATGCATCTAATTCATTGCCATTTGAACATTATCATATCTTCAACATGTACAGCCATATGGTAAATGTTAAACGAAAAAGTTATTTGCTTCGCAAAACGTTTACAACACTAATGGGCAATCAATACATATTCCGTCATCAATTGTTTCACCAACAACGTAGAAGAGAATGCTTCGGCATTTCGGTGAACGTTATATCTGATTTACCTGAGGGGTCACTAACATTCTAGTGGCCTCGACAAGGACAGGAAGCTTGTGGCTTGTCAGAGGTATTCCCATTTGGCTTGAAGATTTTTCTTAATACCTGTACTGCACTGTATAAGTAAAAATAAAATCTGCTTAATGTAACTAAAAGTAAAATGATAAGTAAATTATAGGACATAAATACAAAGTAACATTTTAAGTGAAATATCTGAACTAAATGATAGGTATAACCTGTAATTAACCAATAACTGTAATTCGACTTTGCTGGGAACTAACCTAATGAGAGTAATGAGTGCAACAGGTTAAGTAACAATATGGTAGTTTATAACACTTAAATATAAGATATATAAATTAACTGCAACCCACATGAACATAACTGTAAGTTAAAGTTATGTTCAAGTAGGTTTGTTCAACAACAGAAGTGTCATTGCCATTTTGGGCATTCCACCGAAGTGAGGGGTAAAGGAATACTACCTACAGTAGTTGTAGCTAGAGGGAGTGAGATCTAGCTTTTGTCTTCCTGCCTCATAACTATTGTACTTGGTACATATATTCCTTCCAACTTTCCAATTTTGTCTTCCTTTGCTCTTGAAGCTGTGAATGGTGGCTTTGCACCTCTGGTTCAAGCATAATTCTATCTATTTACCACTCTGTAGTCAGGTACTGTATTTCCTTACATTTCTCTTTTCTTATCTCTCATTCCAACTTTCACCTGTGCTCCTTCTTTCTTTTGTCTCTCACTTTGAAAAAGACTGTCTCTATCCACTTTGTCAAATCCCATGAGTGTCCTGTATAGTGTGACTTTTTCCCCCTGTTCATCTCTTCCAATGTCGTTAGTTTTAGTTTAGTTCATTTTGTCTGTCCTCATAGCAAATTTTTCTTATCTCTGGTACCTGTCTCTTGACTAATTTTGGACCAATTTTGAACCTTCTAAATTTTCTTATTAGTGTGCACATGTTTACTTTATAAATTACATCTTTGTCTTAATACTTCCTGTAGGAATGCAGTGGTAAATATGGTCCATGTATATGTTTCACAGGTGCATTTGTTTGTAAGTTATGGTTTGCTTGGGTCTTTTCTATCTGTATTCAAGTAACTGTGTAACTTTGCACTTATTCACTGCAGGGTACATGTTTTAGGTTGGAAAACAAAAAAAAAAAGAGGGTGCATCTGATTTCCATATACTGTACTGTACTGTATGCATATACATGTCTTTTGAACTTATTTGAAGGGTTGGTGGCCTCATTTTCATAAATGTTATATCTCGGTTATCTTGAGATGATTTATGGGCTTAGCGTCCTCGCACGCTGGTCCTCGATCAGGGCCTCCTTTTTGTTAAACACCCCAGGAAGCAGCCGTAGCAGCTCTCTTAACCCCCCAGGTACCTATTTACTACTAGGTAACAGGGGCATCAGGGTGAAAGAAGCTATACCACACCTTATTGAATTAATATTTTCTCAATTCAAAGAAATTGTCCTTAAACCCTGATAATGAACCTCTTTTCTAATTGATTCACTTTTAAATCACAAGCAAGCCTCGGGTCATCACACTTCACTAGTATATCATGAGCAAGCCGTGAGTCATCACACTTACCTAGTATATCACAAGCAGGTCTCGGGTCATCACTTCACTAGTATATCACAAGCAAGCCTCGAGTCATCACACTTCAATAACATATCACAAGCAAGCCTTGGGTCATCACACTTCACTAGTATATCACAAGCAAGCCTCGGGTCATCACACTTCAATAGCATATCACAAGCAAGCCTCGGGTCATCACACTTCACTAGCATATCACAAGCAAGCCTCAGGTCATCACACTTACCTAGTATATCACAAGCAGGTCTCGGGTCATCACTTCACTAGTATATCATGAGCAAGCCTCTGGTCATCACACTTCACTAGTATATCACGAGCAAGTCTCAGGTCTTAACAGTTCGCTAGTTTATAACAAGTCGGCTTTGGATCTTCACAATTCATAAGTATTCTATATCACAAACAAGTCTCTGGCCTTCACATCTCGCCAGTAACTCGGGTCTCTGATCGTTACACTTCAAAATAAAATAATGTTTTGCTGTATATACCTATACCTGTATATTGATTTATGCATACCAAAATTATATTCATGATTTAATGTTTTTATGATTTAAGGATGTGAACAGTTTAGTGCGACTGAGCATGAATTTTTATATAGTTACTGGTAAACAATTTATTTATTCTCATGCTTATACTGTAAATGTTCTGTATTTGTCTCTCAGTAGTCTTTAGATTTTTTTTAAGAGCGCAAAAACTTGTGTATGCCAAGTAAGAAAAGTATTTATAAAAATGAAAATGGGCATTTTTGTTACAAAACACAGTTCCATATTAATCAAAGAATTTATCATTGTATACAGTAGTTTGCTGTAGTCTGTGAGTGGGTATTTTTTTTTGAAGAAAAGTAATTTATACTGGGATTTCTGATTTTAAAATCCTATTGAGTAATCTCTGGTTATTTTCACTGATTCAGGTGTATATGTTCAGAATAACAAAGTTTTTTTGTGGGGAGCCTCATTGGCTCCTTGAAGCTATCCAAACTGACATGTCATATTAGTTTGGTGTCATCAGTCCCGGGAGTTCTAGTTCCTACTGGGGGACCACGAGCCAGAACAACCTGGTCCCCTCAGAGAGGCGCAGGGAGCAATGGCCATATGAGCACTCTACCTTTAAGAGTTTATGTCTACCATCGACCGGGAATACCACCAGAAAGGTAGGCGAAACAATACAAATCTCCAACTAGTTAAAATTACAACTTACGTCTAAACAGAGTCAAAGAACTTCCACTAAAGTAAAACAATGAAACAACCAAGTTATCCAACTAGCGCGCCTACTCCTTAGCGTCCCCCCCCTCCTCCCTGTCGTGGGGAAGGAAGAGCCCTCTCAAGGAGGAGCTTTGTAGCTTTGCCAGCTTTGTGTGGTGTGGTGGCCAGGTGTTCTCTGGTACGCTGGACTGCATGCACCAAGGGCTTCCTTACCTAGGTTCCCGGTAAGTACTTTTTTTGTGGGTTCTCTTCCCTGTGACATTTGGGTCTCACTCCCATTTGAGGGCTTTGTCACTTGGTGGTGTTGGGGGTCTTGGGCTTCCCGTCTTGCCCCAGGTAGGAAGTGGTTTTTTGCTGGGTGGGGCGAACTGCGGCCAGTGCATACAGCGGCAGCTGACAATTCTCTGGGAAACGGTTGGTTTGTGTGTGTTGCTTCGGGGGCTTTTGATTTTGATTTGTGTTGGGCATATTTGCTTACCTTTGCTTACCGTCCATCAACTGTGAAGATCTTAGTCGCCCAGGGTACTGTGCTTGCTCCAGTACTTTTTCTCATCTTCATATCGGACATAGACAAGGACACAGTCTATAGTACTGTATCATCCTTTGCAGATGACACTAGGATTTTCATGAGAGTAGACAACATAGAGGACGCGGCAAACCTCCAATGAGACGTAAATCAGGTCTTTCTATGGGCTCCAGAAAATAATATGATGTTTAATGAAGATAAGTTCCAGCTCATGCGCTATGGAAAATATGAAAATATAAAAAC